AACCTAATTCATATAAAAACACGAATGCGCATTGCTACACCAAATACCATTTAAATCAGCTGATTTTTACAATGTGTTCTTATGTTGTGGTATCATTTGCATTGTTGGCGTTATTGGTTTTTGCCAGGGTATTTTCCTGTTTGTTTTCGACTTTCTTAGGACAATGGGAGTTTCTGGCGCCCACAAACATGTTTAACCCCGCCACACTCTGGATGTGCCGATCCCGAATCAAGTGCTATTACTTAAGTGGATGTCGTTTGTTGCTGTTTATTATATTTGTGTTTTGTTGATGCATTGAATTATTTCGCAAATAAATCTGACCGTTAGTTCCTCTTGTTTTAATTGTTTTACATAAGTCATATCGGGGCCTTATTTAGCTTGCTATACTTTATGGGCTTTCATTCATTTTCGAAGGCCGTACGCGGACCTATAGTTGTTAACTTCGACGTCATTTGTCATTGTGGAAAATTTTCCAAATGAAAATCATACCACATCTTCCTATTGTATATATACTCCTCAATAATACAAGGGGGATGAATTGTTTTTTTTTCAACCTTTTGAAATTTATTTCAGGACAGGCAAACATGTCTTTCAGAAGGACACCTGGGTTATTATGAATCAAAAGTCTTTAAAACGTGTTTGAAACGCTTCAGGGTAGAAACGAAGATTTCCTTATGGATATTCAAAACTCATTTATCGGAGAGGAACAAATAATGACATGCCAAAAACAAAACGACTTCTTGCAACTGGATATGCATACATACACATTAAAATGGATGACGATTCGTCCTTCATATTAAAAGATACTCCAGGACTAGTTTCAGAATATAATGGACTATGGGTAATGTTATTGTTCGATCCCCGAAATGAAAATAACGTCACGTCATTGGTTGAAGTTCAATGTTATTGTTCGATCCCCGAAATGAAAATAACGTCACGTCATTGGTTGAAGTTCAATGTTATTGTTCGATCTCCGAAATGAAAATTACGTCACGTCATTGGTTGAAGTTCAATGTTATTGTTCGATCCCCAAAATGAAAATTACGTCACGTCATTGGTTGAAGTTCAATGTTATTGTTCGTACCCTGAAATGAAAATTACGTCACGTCATTGGTTGAAGTTCAATGTTATTGTTCGTACCCCGAAATGAAAATTACGTCACGTCATTGGTTGAAGTTCAATGTTATTGTTCGTACCCCGAAATGAAAATTACGTCACGTCATTGGTTGAAGTTCAATGTTATTGTTCGTACCCCGAAATGAAAATTACGTCACGTCATTGGTTGAAGTTCAATGTTATTGTTCGTACCCCGAAATGAAAATTACGTCACGTCATTGGTTGAAGTTCAATGTTATTGTTCGATCCCCGAAATGAAAATAAAGTCACTTCATTGGTTGAAGTTCAATGTTATTGTTCGTTCCCCGAAATGAAAATTACGTCACGTCATTGGTTGAAGTTCAATGTTATTGTTCGATCTCCGAAATGAAAATTACGTCACGTCATTGGTTGAAGTTCAATGTTATTGTTCGATCCCCGAAATGAAAATTACGTCACGTCATTGGTTGAAGTTCAATGTTATTGTTCGTACCCCGAAATGAAAATTACGTCACGTCATTGGTTGATGTTCAATGTTATTGTTTGTACCCCGAAATGAAAATTACGTCACGTCATTGGTTGAAGTTCAATTGTTTTGGACGTTTTTAATCAATCACGACGCTTTGGTGTACACTATTGAAAATATAACCCAGTTATCCTTCTGTCAAAAGATAATTCATCTTGAAAAGTTAAAAGTATATCTATTTTGTGGTTAATTTCTTTGAAATAAAGGAAATAATAAGCTACTCAAGGTCACAAATAGCCACTTCCAGTGTCAACTTATAGCTCTCTTTTCACTAAATTCCAAATAAATATGTTTATATGTATTGCTTTAAAATTAGGGAGATACTTGGCTTCTTCCGAATTACAACATGACATATCCGGTGTCATATTACAGCTTACTTTTCACAGATGTGATAAAATATATTAGTTTTATATACTTTTGCCTGGAATAAGGGAGATAATGTGCTACTGCCGGTCAAATTTCATATAAAAAGTCACCAGTTCACTTAGGTCTTATGTATGTTCCTTCAAGTGGAAACTTTCGATTTGACAAAACTTTTTGTCGATAACTTTTACTGTTTCTTAGGAGTTAAGATAGTCAGCAATGTTCAAAATTTGGAACATGACATTGAAATCTTATGTGCTTTTGACCCAATGATTTCATGTCTTTATGACTCATAGTTTACATACCACTTATATATAAAAACAAAATAGGAAATAACACTAATTACATCTAAACGTATCGCTTTCATCCTAATGGAACAGATCACCCTAAGGAAGTTACAAAAATCAAGGATAAAAATTTAAGGTTATCGTTAAAGTTACATAAAATACCAGTACCTTATTCCAGTCTCGTTAACAAAAGTATTATACAATTCATTATAATGATTAGTACATTTTAGTACACAATTTACAATTTACAAAATGCTAAAATTAAGAACTATCCTTTAATAGTTTTTGTGAAAACATACAAAAAGACACATTATTTATATTGTATATTCATAGTGGTTTACTAGAAAGAAAGAACACTCTGATTCTGTAATATTACCATTAAATTGAGAATGGAAATGGGGAATGTGTCAAAGAGACAACAACCCGACCATAGAACAGACAACAGCAGAAGGTCACCAACAGGTCTTCAATGCAGCGAGAAATTCCCGCATCCGGAGGCGTCCTTCAGCTGGCCCCTAAACAATTATATATACTCGTTCAGTGATAATGAACGCCATACTAAACTCCAAATTGTACACAAGAAACTAAAATTAAAAATAATACAAGACTAACAAAGGCTAGAGGCTCCTGACTTGGGACAGGCGCAAAAATGCGGCGGGGTTAAACATGTTTATGAGATCTCAACCCTCCCCCTATACCTCTAGCCAATGTAGAAAAGTAAACGCATAACAATACGCACATTAAAATTCAGTTCAAGAGAAGTCCGAGTCTGATGTCAGAAGATGTAACCAAAGAAAATAAACAAAATGACAATAATACATAAATAACAACAGACTACTAGCAGTTAACTGACATGCCAGCTCCAGACCTCAATTAAACTGATTGAAAGATTAGGTCTTCATCATATGAATATCAGGCACAATCCTTCCCGTTAGGGGTTTAGTATCATACCATCATAACATATATGAGAAGAACATAACCCGTGTCATGCCAACATGTATATAAAGGACAAGAAAAAACTATGTATAATTTAAATTGTGGAAAATAGATTTATATGTTTGCAACCAATTTAGTAGTGTTGTCATCAGTTAACCGGTTAACCGTCGGACGAACCGATTATCAAATACCAAAATCATTAACCATGTTAATATGACCTATTTTAATAGTTTCGGTAAAAAATAAATAATAAGAAGAAAACAATACTAAGTAAAGTCTATATTCTATTTAGAGCAAGGGGCCTTGTCCCGACCACTTAATTCTATAGTATATACCTTTTCATAGACTATCCAATTTAGCACATATTTACAACTCAAGTAATCTTTTAATTCGTCGATTGATAGTTCATTTTGACTACTTGTATCACAGGTGTTTAAGACGGAGTTCATTTTCTATATTTTATGTTTTGTAAATCTTCTCACTATTATCATAGTTATCATATTTGTTCAATTTGTGACAGTGATTAACCAGATCATGAGTTTATAAATGCAGCAAACACAAATTGGGAAAATAATGCTTTATAAGTCAATCTCACATAACAATATGTGATATTTAAAGACCCTCGACTCCAGAATGAAAAGATATAGCTGCTAATGTAAGTATGTATATGGTGTCGTACTGCATGTACTTCTTTACATGGTAAGATTACAAAAACAGAAATGAATAATTTTAAAATGCAAGAAAATGAAATTCGAATATAATGAAGAAATGGCAACATTTTTAAAACAGAACTATTCCTTGTTTCCCTAGTGATCTTGGACTATGTCTATCATCCCCTTCTCTTCATGAAATAATTATGATTTACAATTTCAAGAAATTGTTATTAATCCATCAGCAAAAATGCTTTATACCATCATCACATACTTTCTCTAATCATAAGCTTGTGAAATTAAAATTAGAAAACGTTTCAATCATGTCAATAGTCCAAAAAATTATTTAATCCTCGTATATTGCTTTTAAATGAGAAACCTGACAACTTTGATGACTGCTGGGTCCTACCGCTACATATGGACGTTTCTTGTCTGATGTTTACGTAGCTCTTTGAATAATCAGATTTATAAAGTGATGATTTCTATCAACCAGCATTGATCGATACCAATGTTGGTCTCTTAGTTTATTATAAATCCAGTTGATAAGAGTTTGGCCGCTGACATGATTTTAACAGAAATTTATTAAACTTCCGTTGGTGAAATTAGAGACATATTTATCTTAGTGTTGGCTATTATTTTGCGGTCTTTTTTTGTGATATAGTCTCAACGTTTTTATATATATTTGGCATCATGCATCCATTGTTATTCTAATCACTACCCTAGAAGTGAACACCCTTCAACAATATTCTTGATAAGACTGTCATCTGTTTGATGTCTTGTATAGACAAATCATGCGTCTGGTGTACAATAACTCCCTAGTATCTTAGTTGGCTTTTTCATAGATACAAGAAGATGTGGTATGAGTGCCAATTATACAACCCTCCATCCAAGTCAAAATTTATAAAAGTAAACCATTATAGGTCAAAGTACGGTCTTCAACACGGAGCCTTGGCTATTTTAATGAATTATCATATATTCTACGTAATAGAAACAAAAGGTTAATCAATATTCATACGTTGAATTAAAACAATGGCAAAAAAGAAAACAAGGAAAAGACCAATAACATTTGACACTAAATAGAAAGATAAATAGGAACACAAATCTCACAGAATGGGATATAACCTCATTTTTTAAAATGCTTACCTTGTATGCCACGTTAACTGGATAAAGTGCGTCGTTTGGTTAAAATCAGTAGTTATTTATGGTTCACAATATGTTATCTTCATTGATTATAGTAAAAAGTTATTTTTGGTTCACCGTCAACATGTTCAAATAATATCTGTTTTTGCCTGCATATGCTATTTAATTTGTCTTTGTATGATATGTTACAATTTCATAATCAGAATTGTATTTATGAAATATTTCATAAATTTACAAAAATTAATACGAATTTGTACATTAAATTAAGAGGGGTAAATACAAATCTTTTTAAAATAAGAATCTTAATTTCGCTTTCTGATATATACATCAAACAGTATATCTTCACACTGAACGGTAGGCAACCAACAATCGATCGATCTATCTATCTCCATGTGTTGAGATTATAAATAAGAAGATGTGGTATGAGTGCCAATGAGACAACTCTCCATCTAAGTCACAATGTGCAAAATGCAAACAATTATAGGACAAAGTATGGCCTTCAACACGGAGCCTTGGCTCACACCGAACAGCAAGCGATAAAGGGCCCCAAAAATTAAGCTACTACGACGATACATACATAAGCTTATCAAGAAGAATATAAAGACTCTAGCATTATTTCCGCTATACAGTTAATATCATTTCAACAAATATGCATATATATACTGTGGGTATTGCTGTGTGTTTGTTTATTCTACATTGGCTAGAGGTATAGGAGGATTGAGATCTCACAAAAGATGTTTAACCCCGCCGCATTTTTGCGCCTGTCCCAAGTCAGGAGCCTCTGGACTTTGATAGTCTTGTATGTTTTTTAATTTTAGTTCATGTACATGTTTTGGAGTTTAGTGTGACGTCAATTTTCACTGAAATAGTACACATTTTTGTTTAGGGGCCAGCTAAAGCCCGCCTCCGGGTGCGGGATTTTCTCGCTGTGTTGAAGACCCATTGGTGGCCTTCGGCTGTTTTCTGCTATTTGGTCGGGTTGTTGTCTCTTTGACACATTCACCAATTCCATTCTCAATTTTATATGTTATGAGGGTCGGTCGAGAACTAAACTTACGCACAATTGAAATAATGACAGCTTTCCAGATGGGTACTTTTCATTTCTCTGTAGCAATATACACCTTATTGCTATTCCCGGCTGACCCGAGAATATGTCCCGCTTGAACTATTGACGTCATACAACAATCACTTTTCCATTGTGGCGGCGTCAGATATTTTGTATTATGACGTCAAAATTTTACGGGAACCTGTGTGATGTCCAGTAATGGCGGACAAATAGCGATAAGGTCTATTCAAATAGCACCTGTACAATGTAGTTGATATGACAATTCAGAGCATGCGTATACTAGAATGATTCTCTTGATAGAGGGTAAATGCGTTAAAGGAAGCTATTGACATAGAGTATCCTAATGGAACTGTTGAAAATAATCCCTTAAAACGTTTTACGGACAACACCCCGCTTTAGTTGCCAGTCTGTTTAATAGATGTTCCAATTGTCGGAGCTACTACACCGTCCTCTATTCATTGATTCTGCATCACTGAACGCGACTTATCGTCGATTTTCAACTAGCCACGAGCTACACAATAGGTGCTAAATGTTGAGTATGATATGAGCTGCGTCGGATAGAAATCAACCTCATGCAAGTGCACGTATACATATACATTTATTGGACTTTTATTGATTTTGGAACCTTCAAAGACGAAATAAGATAAATGTTGGGCTGTTTTGTAGAGTTCTTGTATCAACTCAATTTTCAAACTACAAACTTTGTATGGAGAGTATTGATATTAATTTTCATTAGGTCGATTTTTATTCGCCGCAGCTCATATATTTATCCTTCTAGGTCACCAAAATCACTCACTCCCGGCTTTGCACGACATTCGTGTTGCTCAGTATTATGTAAAGTGTTTGTTTGAGACTGGAATGGGTCATGTCGTCCTTTTTCCTTTACGTTAAGCACTTTCTGTTTTTTTAGCGACTTATGAGATATATGGCATATTGCCTTAGTACTATTTGGCACAACTTTACGGACTTTTCGAAATACGTATTAAATTTTGCCTTCCTTGTCTTGTTCGTTGTTGAAGGCCGAATGATTACCTTTAGTTGTTACCTTCTACGTCAATTTTGTCTCTGGTGCCTTTTTGACCAGAATAAATCAAAGCGTGAAAGCGCTGTAAAGGCAGTTAATTACAGGTTGTGTGTATTTTTAGTCCAGTTATATCATTATCTTGCATAGTACATTGTACTTATCAGAGGTGGCTTTCAGTATTTAAGATTTAGAGTTCTCTAATGATATTGAACAAGTTTTATGAATGTCATATTCTGAGCACTATATGAAGGCGATTGTTCTCACTTGTTTATGAACTAGTGCATTATGTCCAGTTTGTACCTTTTTTATCTATGTTTATAGTCAAATACTGTTTAAAATAGTTTGGCATTTTCTTTTTAGTAATAAGTAAATGTTATCAACTGTATTTTATTCAACTTTGCAAATGTGGTTTGTTACTGGTAAGTAGAATGTATGGATGATAGTTGTTTCATTGGCAATCATAACACATCTCCTTATTTATATAATGATCTATATTCAACGACCTCAGGTACAAAAAAAATGTATGTAACTAAACTATGATGGGAAACCTTTCACTTCTTTCTTTTATATAAACTTTTGATTTGGTACCATAGAACTATGTAGAATAAATGTACATTGCAACATTTCAACTCTTTCAATGACAATACTTTTTTTAGAAACTATAACTCCAAGCAAAATTATATTTCCAAGTATAAAGTAATTTATGAATGAAACAAGAGTGCACACGCTGAAATGTCTCGCCTTTTTTACTAATCATTGATATTATGTTGATAGTCCTAAATATAAAGCTTTATTACAACTGTCACATAAAATTAACATTAACCAAGTAAACTTAACATTGACCAATGAACCAAGAAAATGAGGTCAAGGTCAGATGAACCATGCTAGGCAGGCATGTACAGCTAACAATTCTTCCATACAACAAATATAGTTTAAGAAAAACAGACCAAAACACAAAAACTTAAAACTGAGCAATGAACCTTGAAAATGAGGTCAAGGTAAAAAAAAAACCTGCGTGACTGACAAATAGATCATAAAATATTTCCATACACCAAATATAGTTGAACTATTGCATATAGTATTAAAAAAAAGACCAAAACTCAAAAACTTAACTTTGACCACTGAACCATGAAAATGAGGTCAAGGTCAGATGACACCTGCTAGCTAGACATGTACACCTTACAATCATTCCATACACCAAATATAGTAGACCTATTGCATACAGTATAAGAAAAACAGACCAAAACACAAAAACTTAACTATAACCACTGAACCATGAAAATGAGGTCAAGGTCAGATGACACCTGCTAGCTAGACATGTACACCTTACAATCATTCCATACACCAAATATAGTAGAACTATTGCATACAGTATAAGAAAAACAGACCAAAACACAAAAACTTAACTATAACCACTGAACCATGAAAATGAGGTCAAGGTCAGATGACACCTGCCAGTTGGACATGTACACCTTACAGTCCTTCCATACACCAAATATACTAGACCTATTGCTTATAGTATCTGAGATATGGACTTGACCACCAAAACACAAAAACTTAACTATAACCACTGAACCATGAAAATGAGGTCAAGGTCAGATGACACCTGCCAGTTGGACATGTACACCTTACAGTCCTTCCATACACCAAATATACTAGACCTATTGCTTATAGTATCTGAGATATGGACTTGACCACCAAAACTTAACCTTGTTCACTGATCCATGAAATGAGGTCGAGGTCAAGTGAAAACTGTCTGACGGACATGAGGACCTTGCAAGGTACGCACATACCAAATATAGTTATCCTATTACTTATAATAAGAGAGAATTTAACATTACAAAAAATCTGAACTTTTTTTTCAAGTAGTCACTGAACCATGAAAATGAGGTCAAGGAAATTGGACATGTGACTGACGGAAACTTCGTAACATGAGGCATCCATATACAGAGTATGAAGCATCCAGACCTTCCACCTTCTAAAATATAAAGCTTTTAAGAATTAGCTAACGCCGCCGCCGGATCACTATCCCTATGTCGAGCTTTCTGCGACAAAAGTCGCAGGCTCGACAAAAAGGAGTTCTTAATTAAGAAATAAACTGATTCGCTGAGTGCAGCTGGATACACCCACAGAGATCCAACCGTGAACAGTTGGGGCCAAAATGGACACAATATTCAAGCTTGATACAGGTCTGAATTTGGATTGTAATTAAATATTTGACACATTATAGTTTCTGAATAAATGTAGTCAAAGAACTTGAAATCGGTTATATGAATTGAATTTATTTAAGGAATGACTGTAATATTTTTTCTGTCTATGAAGAAATAACATCAAAAATGTGGTGCACACTGAATAACCTGCGTAACGAGTTATTTTAAAGTGTGCACCACATTTTTTATGTTATTTCGAATAGACAGAAAAAATATTAGTCATTTCTTATATTTTAATTCTTAATTCCATTTTAAACCACAGTAAATCATGAAAAAACGTTGATGACGTCAAGGTCACATGACAAAATTATGAAATTTATGAAAATCAATAGGGAGATTACATCAATAGCTATAAATAATTCACCAAAGTTTCATGCGAACTGCTTAAAGCATTTTTGAGTTGTTGTTCAAAAACTGGAAAATCCCCCCTTTTTTAATGAATAAAACCCCAGAACTCAGAAATGTTAAATCTAAAATTTAGAAAATTCTAAAGGGAGCTTACGGATTGATAATTTAGACTTAGATGCAACATTTTTTTATCAGTTGTTAGTGGCTTTGAACTAGTTGTCAGTAAATGCGAGTACTCTCAGATCTGTACTTAGTGTCTTTTTGTTGTTTGGATGTACAACTACCCGGCCACGTCCACTTGTATTTGTATTTATCCATCTGATGAGTTAAGCCTCTTTCAACTGATTTTTATAGGTCGTTCTTATATTGTACTGTTACACCACTGTCCCAGGTTAGGGGGTGGGTTGGGATCCCACTAACATGTTTAACCCCGCCACATTGTG